CATTGACCGTAAAGTATCGCCGAGAACGACTAGCGTGACAGCACGACGACCGTTTACGCTGGTATTATAAAATGTCGTAAAACACAGTGTACGTGAGCAGTATACGGTAGTCGCTTATGGCAATCGTAAACGACATTTTACGATGATTTGCGGTCGATGTAAACAATTGCCATAAACAGTCACTGTGTACGACTTCTGTAACAATATGCCAATTGTATACGTTCATCGCATAATATCGCGACGTACCGTTTTTGTTTATTGTAATTCATTCGATATAGAATCACTATTTGTTATTGTATTTCATCGCAAACGATCGTTAATGTCGGCGAATTCTTGTTATTGAATATCAATAAAATACTCTCACGATGAAGTATACTAGTCGACAGGTAATAAAAGTTGCGTTTCCACAAAATCAAGAAAGTCTTGGGCTTTGCTTTCTGATATGAGCAATACTCTTATAAAATTCAAGGTTTTTAGAACGACCTTTTCTTTGTCAGTTTGGTGTAACTCCTGTTAGGTCTCGGTAAGATGTATGAACGTCAGAAACGATATCATGACATATCAACAAGCAAGCTACATACTTCCATAGTTTGTCCATGTAGAAAAAGGCCAAAAATTCGACTGAAATTGTTTATTTTTAGATTAAAAATCGATTAAATACTGGCATTTTAATCTGATTTTAATAAGATCTTTCATTCTGAATGATGAAGTTCAGCTGATTTAAATCTTTTTAATCGATTATATAGTTTAAATTAGTTTTGGGTGTGGGGTGGGTGTGGGTGTGGGTGTGGGTGTGGGTGTGGGTGTGTATGGGGTGGATGTGGGTGGGTGTGGGTGTGGGGTGGATGTGGGTGGGTGTGGGGTGGATGTGAGTGGGTGTGGGTGCGGGGTGGGTGTGGGTGCAGGTGTGGGTGTGCGTGTGGTTATGAGTGTGGCGAAAGAGAAATAGTATACTGCGACGGCCACGCCCACGCCCACGCCCACACCCACACCCACACCCACACCCACACCTACCAACACTCACACCCACACCCACACCAACACCCACACCCACACCCACACCCATACCCACGCCCACACCCACACCCCACCCACACCCAC